ATTAATAAAAATTTTTATGAAAAAAGTTTCAAACGATTTTATTAATTAAATAAAAAAACGTTTTCGTAAAATATTCTCCCAAAAACATCTTTCATTTTTAAGTACGCGTTATTATTATTATTATTATTTTAACCGTTAATTTTTAAAAATTAAAAGAACATGGAACAAGTCATTTACTTACAAGTAGTCGTCGTTGTTTTTTTTCTCTCTCTTCCGATAAAAATTTGATTAATTCGACTTTAAACTTTTAAATTTAACGTATTTTAAATAATAATAATAAGTGAAAAATAAATTATGTTAATATAAAAAAAAAAAAAATAAAAAACTTGTTTTTCACGTAGTAGTTGGTAGCAGTAGTACACGATGTAACAAGAGAGAAGTGTCTGCGATTATCGTGAGCGTGACGTAATTGTTGCCAAAAAAAAAAAAAAAAAAAAATTTTTTTCCATTGTTCGACAAAATCGTAATCTCGAATTCGTTGAAAATTGACGACGAATAACGTTCGTTCCGTCCGTTATCGATCGATTTCTGTCGCCTTGCGTACGAGAAAAGTGTTTATGGATCAAGGGGTAATTTTATACAGGGTGTGTGTTTTATTAATAATTTTTCATTAAATTAATTTCATTTCATTATATAATATTACAAAAATAAATTAAATAATATTTGATTTCGTCGGTCGGAGTGTGACGGTTACAATTAATGAAAATGTCAAATAATTGTGATTTTTTTTTTTTTGCTTGATTTGGTAATGATTTAGTAGGCAAAATTGCAACAACAAAAAACAATCAATCAATTCCTTGTTTGTTAATAAAATTCTTTGCTTGTGTAAAGATAAAGCAGGAAATAAATAATTTCTGTGGTTTCAAGTGTCTGTGTGAGAAGAATTTAAAAAAAAAAAAAAAAATCAAGAGACGATTTAGATTTGTTTATTTTAAACGAAACGTCTTTTAGGTTAGTTTCCGCGTTTAAATTTAAAAAATTCGTCAGTTATTTTTAAAAAAAAAAGGAATTAAATAAATCATAATTTTAAAAATGTTTATTTAAAGTTACTATTTTATATCCTTTTACGTTATGATAAAATTATTTTCCACAGTAAAAATAAATTTTTTAAAAAATAATTGTTGTTTATATTGTTTCAGGTGAATTAATGGAGGTTGCGTTGAAAGGGTTTCAATTTTAATATAAATGGAAAGTAATTAGGATACGACTTTTTATACAAAATGTCAGGTAAAGTTTAATTTTTTTTAAAATAAAAATGCCTCCTTCTTTTTCGAAAAGGTCACATCATCAAAATGTAATTTTTCTCCACCATATATCGTGGTATTTGTTAAAAGGAAGTGAAGTTAGTTACACGTGAAAACTTTTTTTTTTTCGTTAAAAAAAATTGTTGTTGTGATTTAATTTTGTTTTTTTTTTCCGTTAATTATGGCGTATTGTGGTGAATCTTACGATTTGAAAAAAGATCCTACTCTTTCGTCTCAACATTCGTTGTCGAGTCCCAACTTTCTAGAATATTTAACTAATACTTCTGCTTCAATACCATCTTCGAAAAGTAACATCGATTTAAAAATTAAAACTACAATTATTCCAGCTAGACGTTCTAGGTCCCCGAGCCCTACGCCCATGCCTTATCCCGGTTACGTAGCTTCTGGAATGAGAGTTAATTTGCCATCATTTAATTCCAATTTAAATTCTAGTAGTATGACGGTTAATAATTCATTTTCAAGGTCCACCCCATCGCAGTCTTCATCGTTGATGAACAATTATTTAGGCGATTGCATAAAATATCCCACTAATCGTAATTATGGTTCCAATGTAACTAAATACGGCCCCCGTTCTCCTACTTCTCCTATGAAAATCGAAAGTCCCGGTACTTTGCTCCCTAATTCAAATTTTTGTTTGTCTTGTCCTCCTGCGAGTCTTCAATTATCGGCGGCAATACAAACAAAACGAACCGATCCAGATGCTCCTGGAGAAGTAAGTAGATTTCATTAATCAAAATTTTATTTTTTAAACTTACAAAAATTTTCAATAACAATTAATTTAATTAATTATTAAACAAATTAATTTGAATTAATATAGTCAAAGACAATTATTAAAAAAAGGGTATTACATAAGTTAAATTGAAAGGGTTAACTCATGGGTCCGCCTTTATAATTTTTTTTCAAAATTAATTTTGATTTAACGACATTTCCCCCCCCCGTTGGGCGTTTACCTTAACTGCTTACAGTTTGAAATTACTATTATCACTAAAATAATATTTGATAAGAAAAAAATTTCTTTTTTTTCAAGTAAAATAATATTTAAAAATGTTGGAGTGTAAAATAAGCTTGTACAAATATAATTTTGATTTTTTTTTTTTTTTAAATTTAAATTTAAATTTAAATTTACACAGTAATTTGTGTATGTGTTTGTTTCAAAAATAAATTTTCATTATCAAACGTTTTCCGCACAGGAACGTTTTTCCTTCGTTTTGTAATTTGTATGAAATTACTTAAGACGAAATGTTTCAGGTAGATCGGGACTACATTGGATTTGCTACACTACCCGAGCAAATACATAGGAAATCGGTAAAAAAAGGATTTGATTTCACTTTGATGGTTGTCGGAGAATCAGGACTTGGAAAATCAACTTTGGTTAACAGTTTGTTTCTAAGTGATTTATACAAGGATAGAAAAATTCCAGATGTCAGCGGTATGTTTTTAAATAAATTTGGGCGTTTCTCTCCCCCCCCTCCCCTTCCCACCCCCCCCCCACGAACGATAAAAATATTTAACTATTAATTTTTTTTTTTTTATTAAAGATCGAGTGGAAAAAACTACGACGATTGAAAAAAAATCAATGGACATCGAAGAAAGAGGTGTTAAATTACGTTTGACAATTGTTGATACACCTGGATATGGGGATGCCATCAATGGAGAGGAAAGTTGGAGATCTTGTTGTGCTTATATCGATGAACAAATGCGCCAATATTTTCAAGACGAAAGTGGTTTAAACCGTAAAAATATTCAAGATAATAGAGTTCACTGTTGCGTTTATTTTGTACCTCCATACGGTCATGGGTAATAATTTTATATAAAATTACTTCTTAAGGGTTTAATTACGAGAGGGCAAAGCTATTAGCATTTATATATGCATTCAACGAGGCGTAACGGTTTTCACTCGAATTTAAAACAAACCTTCAATAAAAAAATAAATAAATATAAATTGCAAATTTATATTTATTTACAGATTAAGGCAATTAGATTTAGAATTTATGAGACGGTTGCATCGGAAAGTAAATATTGTACCGGTGATTGCCAAAGCAGATACCCTAACGGCTTCGGAAGTTAAAAGACTGAAAGAACGAATAATGGCCGATATAGAAGAAAATCAAATACAGATATATCAGTTTCCAGATTGCGACAGCGATGAAGATGAAGAGTTTAAAGAACAAGATAGAGAACTCAAAGCGAGCGTACCTTTTGCTGTTATTGGAAGTAATGTTTTATTAGAAATAAATGGAAAACAAGTTCGAGGTCGACAATATCCCTGGGGTATTGTTGAAGGTATGCGATTGAGTTTTAGTTTCTCATTGTTTAATCCCAGCGTTTATTTACTCTATGATTTTAATAAATGTTTCAGTTGAAAATCCTAAACATAGCGATTTTATAAAACTAAGAAATATGCTCATTTGCACACACATGCATGACCTCAAAGACATCACACAAGACGTTCATTATGAAAATTTTCGGGCTCAGTGCATTTCACAAATTTCCAAAGAAGCAATAAGAGAAAGGAGGTATAATACGTTTAAATTATTTAGAAAAAATTTTCCCAATTTTAAATAATAACCATAGAGTAAATAAAATTTTTATTTTTTTTTTTTTTTAAATAGTAAATTGAAAAGAGATTCAATTGCTCAAATGGAAGGATTATCAGATACGGATCGTTTGCTATTAGAAAAAGATGAAGAAATAAGAAGAATGCAAGATATGTTAAAACAAATGCAAGAAAAATTACAAATAGATTCCAATAAAAGGGACAGCGTTTTAAACGTTTAATCAAAAAAAAAAAAAAAAAAAAAAAAAAATACACAGTACAAAATATTTGCATTATAAAAAATGCATTTTGAAATTTGTAAATATTAATGCTATTAATTAATTAATTATCTTTAAAAAAAAAAAAGGTATAAACTAAATTAATTCTAATAACTTATTTTGTAATAATAACTTATAAAACTGTTTTGATATTGACTAATTTTCATCCTTTAAATTAAATATTTAATACGTTTTATAGTTATTTATAAGTGCGTTTTTTAGTATACTTCAGTAGCATGTACTTTAACCTGTAAAAACCATTTTTATAAAAATGTATCATCAGTATTATAATAGACTTAACCGTTTAAATTTTTGTAAATTATTTTCACCCTACCATTTTATTACCAATCATCCCATAAATAAATTTCATCATTAATAATTAGAACGTTTTAATAATGAAAAATTGTGTGCAACAGAATTTAAATAAGGAAATTTCATATCATCATAATCATAAATTTTTTTATTAAATTTCAATAACATTTTAGGGTTTTATCTATTTAATGTTGGCAGTTTTTAGGTTGGTACAAAATCGATAATTTAGGGACATTGCATGGATGTCGAAGATCAGGTATATTTAAGAAATAAGACGCCGATAATTGATATTATTCTGTATTTACATTAAAGCATTAATATCGGTTTAAAGCATGCAAGGAATGAAAAGGGATTATAATGGAAAAATTAAAAATAATTCGTTGTCTTTGGAAGATCAAGTTTTATATACCACAATACCATTGTGGAAAATTCCCTACGAAGAACAAGTAATGTTTACATTTTTAATTTTTCAAGTTTTTCCCCAAAATTAAAAATATTTTTAGTTTTATTTAATTAATTTTTATTATGATAATCCTTTAATCTTGGAATTTCAAATTAATTACTCTTAAATATATATATATATTATTTTTAAAGATAAAACAAAAAACTCAAACCGCTAGGAAATATATTGCCAAATTATGTAATTTAATTTTAACGAGGAATCCAAATCTTGACGGATGGATTCAAAGACAAAAAGAAGAAAACAAAGGTTTTTTGTGTAAAGTAGATCCTATGGTTAGAACTTGCAATCCGAATGGATACAAAGCCAAATGTGAATTTAGAGTAGGATTTGATGAAGTGTCAAATGAAAGAGTTGTAGGCTTTAAATGTGCTAAATCTGGTGTTTTGAGTGTGTGCCCTGGTGATAGAATGATTCAGTTGCCTCATCAAATGAAATTAGTAGTTAAGGTATCAAACTATTTTACAATTTTCTGTGATCATTCACAATAAGGTCAGAAACAATTTAAACTAAAATTAAATTTTGTTTTAGCTTTTTGAAGACTATATCAAACAGTCTCCTCTACCTCCTTATGTAGTCGAAACAAAATCAGGTTTTTGGCATCACTTGATCGTACGAGTTTCTATGGCTGGTGAAGTTATGTTATTAATTGATATGAATTCTAAAAATTTAACTCTTCAACAACTTCAATATGTTAAATCAGATTTATCAAATTTTTTTTTTAATGGTGATGGGAGAGTTGCCAACGTTCAATCATTATATTACCATCCTCATATTGAAGGGTATTTTATAAACTCGCCTAATTTTTGTCAGTTTTTAATACTAACTTTAAAACGTATTCAAAAAAAAAATTTTTTTTATTATATCAGGCAAACTGATCAAGTACCTTCTGCATTAGAATTATTAGGTGGAATGCAGCGTTTAATCGAACCTGTGATGGGAACAAATTTTCATATAGGGCCTTTTACACATTTTTTAACAAATGCTTGTTCAGCTCAAACGTTTTATCAAGCAATATCTGATCTCGTTCAACCTGGTCCAAATGTAACAATTATCGATATATGTGCTGGAATAGGTGCCATCGGTCTCACATTAGCTAAGGTATCATATTATTTGTTAATTTTCCAAAATTATGTGTTTAGGTAATTTTGTTATTATTTTAAATTTTTAGAAATGTAAAGAGGTATATGCGATTGAAATGTTAGAACAACATATAGCGGATGGTGTATTAACTGCTCAAATGAATAACATAACAAATTTTTCATTTCTTCATGGTATAGCAGAAGAGCAATTAGGTGATCTCCTTAAAACTCTAGAAGGTAGAAATAAAGAAATTGTTTGCATATTGGATCCACCTAAATTAGGCGCACATAAACGCAGTACACTAACCAATTTAGGTATTATTGAAAAAGCTAACAATTTAAAAATGTTTGGTTAGGTTAATAAGAAAATGATGGTAGGTCTAGGTTAATAATAATTTTTTTAAATATTTTCAGCATTTAAAGTAGTAGATCAAGTTAGAATGTCGCCTTCTGTAAAAAGATTTGTATATGTATGTAATAATCACAAAAGCCCGGTAAGACTATTTTTAGATTTTTGCGCTTCTCCTTTGGAACGAGGAACGTACAATTTTACAGGATTGCCATTTGTACCTGTTAGAATCATACCTATTGATTTAGCACCGCACACTCCACACTCACAGTTACTTGTACTTTTCGAAAGGGTAGGAATTAAAAGAATTTTATCATTATTATTATTTGATGTTTCCATTATCATTTTTGATAAACCCATCGTTCATTTGCAGTGTTCATCATCAACTAGTAGAAAAAGTAAAGAATTGAAACCTCGAAAACAACCTGAATTAGAAGAGTTTGTGGTATATACTCAATGTTGAATATACTCAAATTATTATTATTATTATTATTATTATTATTATTTTACATTGGATTCGTCGGTCAATAGCAAAATTTACGAATTAACCCTTTCATTTTGAATAAGTCAACAATTTTTTTTTTTTTTTTAGTTTTTCTGACAATATTTTTTTTTTTTTAGAAATTATTTAAGTATCGGACTAGTCATTTTATAAATTTTTTTTTTTTTTTATTAAATACCTTTGTTGCGTTGTTTTAATTTATTAGATTTAAAAAAAAAAAAAAACGCGCGCATTAAAATAAATACTCAAAATAAAGTTCAAAATAATTCAATGCTTTGAAAAAAAAAATACAAGTACTTACCTAAATTTGAAATTCAAATGAATACAAAAACAAAAAAACAAACAAAAAACAAAAAAAAGAACGCAAGAAAAATTTTTTGTTTAAACAATTTCGTTCGATATACAAAAAAAAATTATTATTATTTTCTTTTTTTTTTTTTTTAAATAATTTGTTGTTTAAAAAAAAACATTAAAAAAAAAAAAGAATTTAAATTAGTTAATTATTTTTTGTGAAGGTATAATAATATTATTTTATTATTATTATTATTATTATTATTTTTGTTTGTTTGTTTGTTTGTTTATAATTTAATTTATGTTGGAAATTTTTTTTACTTTTAATTTAAAATATTTTGCTTTAAGTTAAAATAAGAGAAACATCACAGATTTTTATAGCAAAAATTTATAACCATTATTATTTAATCACAAGATATTAATCTCTTATGATTAAAATTGTGTTCAATTCCAAAATAATAATAATAATAATAATAATAATTTTTTTTATAAATTTTCAATTTTTTTTTAAACAACAAAGTCTTCCAAAATTAATTTAAAAAAAAAAAAAAAGAAAAGTTTATTTTGAATTTTTTAATAATAATTTTTTTTTTTTTTTTTTTCGGGGAAACTCACATTTATTATTATTATTATTTTTTTTTGTGAAAAGTATTTCCTTTTTTCTTTTTTCTTTTAAATTAGTTAATTATAATTATATTATTATTATTATTATTTTATATAAGTTTATTCGAAATTGAATAAGCACATATTTTTAAGGTTGTGATTTAGTAACAAAAAAAGTTCAAATAAATTTAAAGTATTAATATTATTATTATTATTATTTTTGATTTTGACTTTAATATTAATTAATTCAATTAGAATTATTATTAATTTTTTATTTTACGTTTTGTTTTGTTTTTCTTTTCAATACTTTGTAAAGGATGTTTTTTTCTTTTTTTTTTTTTTTAAGAAATAAATAAAAAAAAAAATAAAATGCATATCAATACTAAAAGTAATAATTATTGTATTATTATTATTATTTTTTTTCATTTTTTTTAATTTCGAATATAAAAAGGCTGTTTTTTATTTATTATGTATTACTATTATTATTATTATTATGTAAATGATCTCATTTTAAATTTTAAAAAAACATGTATTTACATTTATATAGTGAATAAAATTTTTTTAACAAAAAAAATCTGTTGTAAATTTTTTTTTTTTTTTTTTATTTTAATAAAATCCTAAAAAAAATCTAATAAAATTGATGCCTTACAAAAAAAAAAAATTTTTTTTATTTTATTGTTTATTATTAACACATTTTATTATATTGTTTGGTTTTTATTCTGCTTTGTCAATAACTTTTTTTAATTATTATACCCCACCCCCGCTTCCCCCCCCCAAAAAAAAGAATTTGTTAACGCCATTTATAATCGTTGGATGATATACAATAGAAAATTAATATTTTAATAACTTTATTATTTATTTACTGTAACACTTGAAAATGAATTGTAATACATCTATTGTATTTTTTTTAATTTAATAAATAATAATAATAATAATAATAATAATAATAATAATAATAATAATAATAATAATAATAATAACACAGTCAAAGAAGCAGACAAAATGCTAAAATATTGAAATTTGGATATTGAAATAGCCAGGATGTGGGAAGACGTGAAATCAGAAACGATTCCGATCATCGTGGAAGCAGCAGAACTGGGAGCCATGATGCCACTAACACATTCAATAAAAGGAAATTTAAAGAAGATTTTGAAGAATTTAAAAGGAGGAAAAACCATCCAGGAAATCGCACTATGTGGGACGGCCCACATTCTTCGGAAAATTTTAGAACAAACAAAATTCGAGCATTTATCCCTAAGGAATCCGAAAGGGGAGAAACCTGGAATAAATGCTTAAAAACCCCGACAAATAAGAACCTTGTCGTGTTTAAGAGTGACAATAATAATAATAATAAATTGAATTGGAAACAAAAAAAAAAAACGGTTCAACGTTCTATTTAATTTTTTCAAATATTTTTGTTTTGTTTTTATTTTATTTGTTGATTTGAAAACTTTGTTATTTATTTATTATTATTATTATTATTATTA